CCATCTACCTCCACCACCACCACTAACTCCCATCTACTGATCCAAACCCAGAAAGGACATTGTTTGGGTTTATTACAAGAAGTTAAGGGGAGGGCTGGTTTTTGTCATTGCTAATTATTATTATTTTATTTTATTTGTGCATGACTTGTTTAGAATTTTCAAACCACAACCATCCAATAGATCTCATAAGGTTTCCCTTCCTGAGGTCGCATGGTGGGGAATGCCTGACCAGGGCAGGGAGAGACACTTGTCACATTTGTCACAGGCATGTTTTCACTGAGGACTGTCCCAGCTGTGCTTGCTCTGACTGCGGGGAGAAGAACTTTCTGAAATGCTCTTTGGAGAGGAGAAAGCCTAAAAGCTTCCTAAAAAGGCAAAGTACTTCCATCAGAGTGACAGTAATACCACGTGCAGTTCTAAGTGTTCTTCCCGGAATCTGGTGTGCTCTTTGGACCTCTGTCTTCTCAACTGAAGCGAAGAGTACTGGAGCACGTCTCTGAAGACTTCTTCCACATTCTCTGACTTATTTGAATACCCTGCAGTGTGTTGAATAGCTTTAACATTCATTTTCCCCTGTCAAGAGGCAACTCCCATTCCTTGTGAAACATCTAAAGCTGTTCTGCTCTGAGAGTGGCCTGCAGAAAGTGCTGCTCATTTCAGATTTGCAAGATGATAAGGATACAGAAGCTGCAAGTGGATGTTTGGTGACTTTGATAGCAATGTGATGTGCTCACAGCACCCAAGCAGGGTTCATTTTTCTTGTTATCCATTTCTACTTTTGTTTTACTGAAGCCTCTCCTCCATGAATGGAAGGGGAAAGACCTGCTCATTCATTAAAAAAAAAAAATAGGTTGGGAAGTGCCTATTTATGAATAAGAAGGGAAAAGATTTAAATCAAACAAAGCTACTTTTGTGAAAGAAATTAGGGGTTCAGAGTGGGAGAGAGATTTACTTTTCTCTGTAAGTCTTCAGTGATGTCATAATATTAATCAAATACATTTTTCAAAACAAAAATATTTTAAGCACTGACATGAAATCAATAAGTAGGCATAAATGATAAGATTTTTCGGAGCTAGCGACTTTGCTAGGGTGGATGGAGCATCACGGCATCCAGGGGAGACAGCTGGAGTTGCAGAGGGCTGGGCCACTGGCTTGTTGCCAGGCACTGCCTCTGCTCTATGGCCCAGGACTATTCTGAAATGGAATGTGGTACTCACCTAGCTAGCAGAGGTCCCCTGCCCTCTGTCCTTGTCTCTTAGAACCCAGGCTTCCACTCAGGTGTCCATAGCCATCCCCTGTGGTGTCCACGCAAATCTCTGACACATCTGGTGGGGCAGTTAGGAAATTGAGGATCAGTTAGGAAATGCCCCCAAGGAGGGAATGGCCTCTGATATGGGGTCTGTAAGTGGACATCCTCCAGATCCTCATGGAGGCCCTGGGAATGGCCAATGGCATTGCCTCAGTAGCCATGACGGGGTGGGGGAAATAAGCTCCTTTGCCTGATTGCCCAGAGCAGGTATCCAAGATGTTGACAGGGAGGCAGCTGTGTACACAGCTGAGTCTTCTTGGTACACACTGTGGGCATGAGAAAAAAAGTAGGGGTGGGGGTAGGCCATTCAAAATGGTTGAAATGAACAAAGAAAGATGAGTTGCAAAAATCCACAATAAGAAAAAAAAGTAAATGTGCATTAGCTGTTTTGGAAATATATATTATATAAATATGACATCTCTCATCCCCATCCCCACTTGCAACCTGAAAAACTCTTTTTATATCAAGGGATGGGAATATGCCATTTTGGGTCAAATGGCGATTGCACCAGACTTTTTGGGGGGATGGTCACCAGGGATTGAACCACTTGACCACTGAGCCACATTCCCCACCCTATTTTGCACCAGACTTTTCTATTTTATACTTAGAGGCAGAAGATTCATAGGTCCTCCCAGTATAGCTCAAGGGCACCATCCCTTCACCAGCACTTTCCTGACTACCCTTCACCCTCCTCCCTATAATATCTCCTGCAAGTCAAAGAAGGCATCCCTTTGGAATACTGGGGAATCTCACAACTTTCCAAGGGTTTAGGAGAAGTAGGAAGTAGCCTAGTTATATATCTCCTTGCTCTGGGAAAGGATAATTGCCTTTGTTTCTTCTTCCTCTAAAAATAGTCATTACTTTTTCTTTACGTAAAAAAATACGCCTAGTACTTTCTTGTCTCATTTCCCATGGAAGTCTGCTTTGGTCCACACAGAACTTATGAAATTAAAATAAATGCTGTGGTTTATATAGTGACTTTCAAGATTAGGACTTGAAGAGAAATAAACTAGCCCTGGTATATGATCTCCACCATGGTAACTTTTTCTTTGTTCTTAAAGACTATCAGTTATGCCAGGTGTGGTGGCGCGTGCCTGTAATCCCAGCAGCTTGGGAGGCTGAGGCGGGAGGATTGAAAGTTCAAAGCCAGCCTCAGCAAAAGCAAGGTGCTAAGCAACACAGCGATTCCCTGTCTCTAAATAAAATACAAAATAGAGCTGAGGATGTGGCTCAGTGCTTGAGTGCCCCTGAGTTCAATCCCTGGTACCAAAAAAAAAAAAAGACTGTGAGTTGTGAGATTGACAGCTGGGTTTGGTTCTTCCCCTGCTTGTGGTCTTGTTCTGCTCTGTCCCTTCTGAGCACAAGTCTGGGAATTGTTGATGCTTGAGGGATAAATAACTCTTTGACCTGGTTGGTGGAAGGGAAACAGCATGAAATCTTCCTAAAAAAGCAAAGGAGCTTCATCAGAGTAACATCATATGGTGTGCAATTCCAGATGCTCCTCCTGGTTCAGTACTTACAACTTCTCAAGAAAGGGTACAAAGGCTTCCACAGGATGGCTCTGCACCCATGGTCAGATGGTGCAGTTCAACTGAGATGTAGGCCTAGGGAGAAAGGAGAGACTACTTCTTGGCATTTGTGTGATATTTA